ACTGCATTAGCTCGATTATTCTGCGAATAGTCGAGCTAAAAACTACAAATTTGCCAACTGTCCACTTAACGCAGTAGGTAAGACTGTCAGTTAAATTACCATTTGAATATCAATGCAAGACAGATTCGATTCGCAAAAAATTATTTCTGTATGAAGATTATTTAAACGCACTACGATTACGAAAAATTTATAATTTGAATATATGGATCAATATATAACACACTTTACTTCATTATATTTTTACATTTCTGATAATGCTTTCTCCAAAATTGTAACTATTTGAAACAAAACCGGTCAAATAAGAAAGATACATAAGACAGCCAAATGTAATAGTACTTAACCATGATTCGAATATAACGCTGAAACGGTCGCTCTGCCTACTGCGCTATCAAGGCACATAAAAATCTGACGTTTTACTTTGTGTCATAAGGCATCAGCTTGCCTTACCTTTTTGGCTTGCAGCCACGGCTGCAAGCCATTTCATATGGAAAACTTGTTCCGGTTAGGTGGTTTCCTGCTTACATCTGTTGGTGCATGGTTGAACGGGGAACCAGCCGCAATCGTGCCAATCGCAACTTTTCGGCCTTTTCCGTCACTCTTCGGATTAATGATAATAGCCGATGTAGTTCCGATTGCAATCATGACAATTCGGGCGATTCCGTCATACTGCGGAATCAGACGAAGTAATATTACGGAAATCTAAGCTATTTTAGTTACTTCGGTAATCCCAGTTTGTTTATATAAATAGGATTTCTATTTTTACTTGATTTATCGGTTTAAACCGTAATAAATTATAAACGAAATTGTTCCGTTTCAATTGTTTTTCAAGACGCAAAAGTTAGTTTCTTTAATAATTGTTTTTTGTCTGTATTAGTTTTATACGCTGTAGTAGTATTTAGTCTTCAAAGGGTGATCCTGCTTACCAAATCACCATGATCGAGTTATATTTAGATCTACTGAACTTCTTGGTGAGGTAATCTAAAAATAGCCCATGCATATCACGTGCTGATCCAAACTCCTCGCAGCGGTTACTTCCCCTAATCTGTACAGTTAAAGTAGCAAAGCGTGACGTAAGAGCTGTGAGGAGTTTGGTGCTGATATCGTCTATTTGTGATCGTGTAACATAGTTGATACATGCTTATTAATTGGTACCACGTAAGTGCATTTACTTATCTATAAAGCAAAGGAATGATTTCGCTGCGAAAAAGGGGAAATGAAATGTGCACACTTGTTTTCCTTCAGTATCACGTTAGTATTTTTACGATTGATCATTTTCTTTATTTATCTAGTTTTATACAATAGAGAATAGATTTCAAATCGTTTTGACAAAAAATATTCGGTTTTCCAAAAAAAAAAAAAAAACCAACTAAATAAACCCTTTATGATATACAAATACCGTAATTAAAAAAAATGTGATAATAAATTGAAACCAAAAAAACACACAATTTTAAAGGGTTGGGATGAAGGCACAACTGTGCAAGCCTTTCCTTTTAAAAGGAAACTTTATTTCGCATTGTTATCAATTATCATCCTAGTACAGTATTCAGACAAAGATTGTAAACGTTTGTGTACACACACATTGCAACTCCACTCTCACAGTACTCACGGTTTTAGTACTGTTATCAATGAATACCCCCCACACACACCGAGGTTATGTATAATTCACCGAATATATATATATAATTCAAGAACAATTAAAATAGAAGTAATATTAATATATTCGAATAACCTGGAAACAAATGCAACTGAGAACTGTACTTATTAAGAAATAGATAAATGAATACAATAATGAACATCCAACTTGTATATTGCCTTTTTACTATTACCGATTATGGGCTAAAATTATAAAGATTGCCTTTGTTCACCAGAAACACAGCGAATATTAACTTCAGATGCGCTTTGATTTATGAATGTATCTAAACATATCTTGTGTATTATTTAAATATTGACCATGGTGTCATTATCGTATTTCAGCAAATGCTGGTAAAATATTTAGCAAATTGGAAGAAAGAAAAAGACAGAAAGAGATAACTGTCTTTCGTATTGATATGTGTAATTTTATTTAATTAAAATAAAGACCACACACGTATATAAGTAATAGAAAGAGCATCGAAACACGAGGCTATCTGATTTGTACGAGGGGGCGTACAGGAAGGTCTCTAAACTATGATACAAGTTGTACATGTGATGAGACGAAAATAAACTATTTGAATTAAATTTGAATTGAATTAGTTTAGCTGTTCATTTTCACTAGGGGCTTAGAGTCTGACAGAACTGCGGTCAAATGAAAATAATGCAAAAGGAATGAGTATTTTCAATAAACATTTGTTATTTAATGTAATTTCATATAAATTGCAATAACTTATGTTTAAATAAATATTATAAACACTAAAAATCTAAAAGTGGTTATCAGGCGTCTGTAGGGTGCTAAAATATAATGTGAATTGTATGTCGGTCAAAAGCTATACATAGGTTATGTTTTTGTGATATGTTGATATAAATAAATTTTGATTCCATTTGATTTGACACTCATATAAATGTAACTACAACTACATTGGCTAAACAGCCTCTCACTTCCCCTCGGAGCGTGCTCGTCGCTGAGGAGGCAAATGGCATCGGCAAAATATTTGAAGACTTGTAATGGCGGCGTTCTGACTAATCCCCCGGGGAATAGCCCTATTTCAGTCAAATGTGACAGAATCTTTAATTAATTAAGAGTCGTTTTAATTTCTTTGCCAAACTCGTATTCTTTTTTAAGTTCTGGCCGCAAGGCCGTTAGGCCGCCAACTTCACGCCGCTAGGCCGCTGGGCCACCAGGCCGCCAACTTCACAAATCTGAATCAAAAGGCGTAATAACGCGAATAAAGACATTGTAACGCGAATCAAAAGGCGTAATTACGCGAATAAAGGCGTTATCACGCGAATCAAAAGGCGTAATAACGCGAATAAAGGCGTTATAACGCAAATCAAAAGGCGTAATAACGCGAATAATGGCCGTTATCAGGCGAATCAAAAGGCGTATAATAGCGAACAAAAAGGCGTAATAACGCAAAACAAAAGGCGTTAATTTAATACCATATAAATTCCTATCAGTGGCCTAGTAATGTAAAGGAAGAACAATGTTGATCAAGATATACGTTTTCTTTTCAATTCGGTACGGATACGTCTTAAGGCCACATTCTGATTCTTTAATGTTTTATTAGAAAATGCTTTCGTCAGATTAGAGGTTAACTATCACCCAACTATAATTAATATAATTAAACTATAGATAATTTTCTACAAAGAAGACAATGTCGCATAATTATGGCTTAACTGAAACACTATCGCCCATTTAAGCATACGTGTCAATAATTAAGATATTGTATCATAGTTTGGGGACCTATCTGTTGAAAATGTGTCAGAGTTAAATCGTATACATATACATGCGCAGTGCGTTAACTGGAGTGCAGGTATTACTTACCCGCACCCCTGAGCATGCCTATTGATTGGCTCATTTTTGCTGGGGTTTACATATTGTGACGGCAGAGAAAGGGAAAACGACAGAAATATCATATTAAGATGTTCGTTCATTGGTCCCTTTTTGCCGGGGTTTCATATTGTGACAACAGGGAACGTGTTTTTATGTTTGACTATGATACAAAAGAGAAAGAACATTAAAACACTCGGCAATCTGATTAATACTTTGGGGCTACGCCCCCTCGTACAAATCAGATAGCCTCGTGTTTCGATGCTCTTTCTATTACTAATTCACCCTAATGTGAGTTACTTATACCTTACGTTTTTCCAAATCTTTTTACTTAAAGTCTATTACCTATAGCTAAATTAGGAACGATATTCATATAATTAGAAGATACTACAGGTTATTAGGTAGTTATACAGGACATATCCGTAGATAATTGAACATATGACGCACAAATAAAATAAGATAAGATAAGATAAGATAAGATATAAGATAAGATAAGATAAGATAAGTACCATAGTGACATGTGTAAAAATTATGATGAGATACATGTGAATTCAGAGTAACTAATGTAAATACAGTTACTGTGAATTCATATGTAAACCCTATAAGTCACCTTATATTGGCAAATATCAAAGAGTCTTCATTATTGTTTGACAAATAGTTAACATTATTGGAATGTATATTGTAATGTATATTATATTATTCTATACGAGTTTATATCTTAATCAATAAATGCAGATCAAGATTGGTCTTCCTTTCTCGTGTTACAATGCCATTTGGTTAATATAAATATGATTTTAAATTGGCATTATAATGCGTTTTAATTTGCGTTATTACGCCTTTTGGTTCGCGTTACTACGCCTTTTTTCGCGTTACTACGCCTATTGATTCGCGTTATTACGCCTTTTTCGCGTTATTATGCGAATAAAGGCGTTTTACGCCTTTTAATTCGCGTTATAACGCTTTTATTCGCGTTATTATACCTTTTGATTCGCCTTTATTTCCGTTAAATAGTCATTATTGTTATCTTAAATTGGCATTATAATGCGTTTTAATTGCGTTATTACGCCTTTTTTCGCGTTACTACGCCTATTGATTCGCGTTGCTACGCCTTCTTTCCCGTTATCACGCCTTTGATTCGAGTCATTACGCCTTTTGATTAGCGTGATAACGCCTTTATTTGCGTTAATTTAACGCCTTTGCATTTTTATTTTTTTATTTTATTTGACACTATTAGGCTTTCGTAGTCTTTTTTGTTTTTTTTAAAGTTAAAATTTTCTATGACATGTTGTGCAGCAATCGATTGCACGATAAAAACACTTCACATTTAAAAAAAACACATCTATTCTACCCGCAACCAAGAGATCTACTTGCAACCAGTTTTAACGGGTGTGTTTATAATCCAAGTTAATATTTACAAAATAAAACTCTGCAACGGTTTAAAATTACAGCTTGATAAACATTGCAAAAACTTAACTTAGATCATTTTTGTCGAACAATAGATTCATTAATCATCTAGGTCCATATAAATGTATTGTAACATTTTATCTTTTGTTTGACATTTTATTTCAAAAACGCCAAAACTACAATGTGTGGGATAGTAGCTTTAAATACTGACCGGATCTCATATTTAGAGTTGTTTTGAGAGAGAACGGCTGTTTCAATCTTGTTCTTCATAAACTCGTTTCTACATAAGTCTACTGCTGTTTTCCCATCCTATCAGATTGTAAGGAAACGGGTCTTTAATACATCGTATCGTATTATAACAGAGAACTCATGTCACAAAATAATGACACTTACTACTCATCATCATAAATAAAATGATTACTAGTATTAAAAAACAAATAATTTATTTTGGCTAGAAATCTTACATTAACAACATTAACGTGAAATTGTGTTCTCATCATCCTCCAAACAAGCCTTATTTAAACACTACAAGCGATATTACATAATTATTTTGATGGCAAGAAAGAACAGAATGTACTCCGTGGTATTTTCTGATCTTTGCAATCTAAATCGTACTGTATATCTGTATGTAATTTCCTGTATAAGTTTATTTTGATATACTATAATTCATCTTGCAGGGCACCGAGTTGCAGCGACTGCGTTTAGATTTTTTGCTAGAACAGTTTGAGTTTGATACATACGGACTTTGCATAACGAGTTTCTAACTTGCATTATGAAATCTGCTATGTACATTTTTATGACAGCTACACTTTATCCTTGCATATTGTGGCTAATTCCTTAAGAAAGAATGGTAAAATCGGTAAAAAGACACTTAAAAATATCAACAGTTCCCATGACTGGATTTTGAACCCCAGACTTCTCACTTCCTAAACGAGCGTGTTACCACAGGGGATTTATGAAAACAGTCTGAAGCATAGCAAATGATTTTCAATTTAGAATTTCCATTAAGGTTTGTAATCCTTATTAATTTCGAGATATTTTGTTCACGGTAAACCTGTTGTTTAACACTGATGTAAATAATTTAGCGAAAATCTCGCCCAAACAGTCCGACATGTATATAATATTTCACTACTCGACAGTAATATTTATTTGTGTTATACGTGTGGCCATAGCGACATCGCTAAAAATAGCGATTTGTTTACGTGGTGCTTAACTTATAAGACCGTCACTTATGGTAGAAATTGATTATCAATCGTAGGCTGTCCTAAATTCGTCCGTCCTAGAGTCAACATTCTTACTTTATTTGTCAGAAAGTCTAAATAACAAATGTGTGTCAGGCGGCGTTTAATTCCGATCACAATTATCCGAAGCTTTACGAAAATAGCCGAGCAATTTTCATTGATTAAAATGATATTTATTGACAGTTCTATAAGCCAAAGCTACATTTAAACTTTAAATGCGTTATAATTCGTTGGATAGTATATTATGCGATCAGAAAATACAAAAAGATAATAAATTAAAGTAATTATTTTTGCTTGGAGAAAATGTAGGGTTTTTGCTTTTGTTTAGGGTTTTTCCTACATGATACCATTTCATTTGAACTCTTAATAAACAAAACTCTTTTCTAACAGATAGGAAAACGTGTCTGAAACACACATCATCCACTAATTATTCTGTATGTATAAACGCAAACCTGATCTCCAAATTCAACGTCCGCCCCACTTTGTATTAGACATTCCGTTATTTCTTGATGGTTTCTCCAAACTGCAAGATGGAGGGGTGTGCGACCTTTTTGCTGAAAAAATATTCTACATCCTATTTTGTTCAGTGTTAATGTTGACATTTTATAACAAAAAATGCATTTTTAATTTTGTTTGTTTTGTTTCTAATTTAAATTTGCCTTAGCTTTCGGCCTTGCCCTCATCTTCAGCAGCATTTATTTTACATCTTTAATGTATATGTATTCATAGCATTAATGCACACTACTTGAAAAAGGATTACAATGTACATCGTTAAAGAATTTATAGCAGTAAGTGTATAACTTACTGCGTCAGGCTTATTTGCATCTGCACCAGCGTCAACAAGAAGCTTAACTACTTCCGTGTAACCTTTCATTGCGGCATGATGCAAAGGCGTCCATCCAATCTAAAATATACAAATTTAACGTGATGAAAACAAGAACACGCAGAAAACTTATATCAGATTTTTTGTTTAAAAAGCTTTATTACTTGCTTTATCTAGTTTATACAAATGTATTTGAGTTCGAAGGTGTTGATAGCTGTAAGCTTATTGAAACACTCTCGAATCCGTTCCTGGAACCAACTAGTACTAGACAATAATGTAAAGTATATGCTGTAGGCCTACTTGTGGTTGAGGAATTTTTCAAGGGCCGGCCAAACACCTTCTATAAAAGCGGTCAGACTGTTTAGATTTGAAACACAAACGCGAGATAAATTTATTGAACCTGCTGCAAATATCATTTGTGTTAAAACTATAATAAATGAATTCCTAGCACACATTGTATAATACTAACCAAATTGAGCATACATTTGTATTACAATTCAAAAACCTAATGTCTTGTGTAAATGTGTTTTCCTCAAAATTGTGAAATCATGTTAAATAAATCGGTGTTCGATGTAAAAGGAAAGTGCAAGTTCATAACTACATTCCTGTTATTTAATAATAGCAGGTTTTATGACATTTTCATTACAGATAATCTTATAATTTGTGTATGTAAGACACATAATGTTATTTTGTTTCCGCAATCGGTCTGTAATAATAGGAAGATTGTCTCACTTTATCCACTTTATTGACATCTGGTTTTCGATGTAGACAAAGCGCTACTTCTGAGCTGCGTCCAAAGGTGCACAAATGGTGCAATGGCGTTTTTCCTACCTGAAATGATAAAATGCTATTTGGAATTTGAGTAATGTTGACAAACGCTTTAGAAAAATTAGAAAAGTATCTTATACAAAGCCAAAAATTACAGAGAAATATCGCGTGTTTCATTTTCTTCATTGATATGATTGGTCCTATTATGAATAAATTAGATAAACCTTTACCAAGCTAAATTACTTAAAATGACTTTCCCATATTTTAAGATGAACACATCCATTCATTTTTAGGGATCTTTTAAAAAAAGTAATGTCTTAATAGCGAACAGTGCAGACCATGATCAGACAGTAAAGAGGTGACAGCTGACCTCAGTCTGCACGTGTCGCAGGCTAAGGGTTTATAGAAAAAAGTTTGCCTTACAGTTCTTAAACATAATTTATGATTCTGTTAATGTTTATGCAGACATGACTACGCCTTTAAAATTGTTCTTTCGTCGAATGATTCAAGTTTTAAATTCATCAATGTTTATTCTTTGTCGTCATTTTAAAAAAAACGGACATTGTCATATAATTTCTTTGCTACTTTACAGAAGTGTACTCACATCGTCCCCCATATCAATATGCAGTTTTGGACTATTTTCCAATATGGTAGAGACGAGCTCAAAATTGTGTGTCTTTATGGCATTCAATAGCTGAAAATAGTAAAATTCGCACGTTTTTAGGTCGATAGTTAATCTTATTCGTAATAATAAGAACATATACAATTCTGTATAAAAACATCTTCAAATACAATATAGTCTGTCATCTACGCTACAGCTTTCCAGTAACCTTATAAACTATTCAGGAGAAACAGATCTCTGCTACCAACTATGGTGGCTGACTTGGAACGCTTTTGTGCGTCGTGTTGTCGATAGCGAAAGCACGCCATAGCGCCAAACGGCGCGTTGTCGAACTTTCGTATTGTCGTACTGTCGCTAACGATGCATTTCACATTATCGCTCAGCTCAAATTGAAGGATTGGAGACGGGCCTAGCAACTGGGAGACATCGCGACAAAGCGCCGCACAACAACGCGCCGTTTGGCGTGCTTCGCTAGAGACAGGACAAGACGACAGTGCGACAATGCGCCGTTTGGTGCGTTTCGCTAGCGACAAGACGAAAAGGCGATAACGATATAGGTTGTGTTGTCGCTATCGACAACGCAATGCGCAAAGTGTACCAAATAAGCCACCATAAGCAACAGACGAAATGAAATCATAATATTACACTATTATTGCTATCAACTGTGAGGGAAAAGTAGTAAATTGAAAAAGAATGTAACATTTTTCAAATATACTGAGCCAAAATGAAAACTTTTTTGGAGCAAAATTTTCTATTAGATTTAAGACAATAACTTTTGTCGTATGCTTTGCACAGAACACCTGATCATCAGCCGAAAACAAAAACACGTTTCACTATTTGTCTTTAACGTTAATATATGTTATAATGTTGTACTACCCGCCAAAATAATATTCAAAGAATTAATTTAAGAATTAATTAATTTGGAAGTAAATGCCTGGCGTATATGTCACACATTTTACACAGTAAACAAACATTATCAACGCCGTTTTAACCTACCTACATCAACGTTAATAATACATCATCATCATTAACAACAACAACAATAACATCAATTTCATCAATGATACATCATCATCGTCATTGTAAATCAGATATATATTTGTCCACACCGCCTTGCAGTAAAATGTCACTGTATCTGGCTTTGTCGAAAATATGTGCTTAATATTTTGGACATTAATATTTATTGACTTGAAGATAAAATATCGACTTGTCATGTTCCCATTCTGAGGGGGAAGGAGGGATGTAAACGTTTTACTTTTCCGTGCGCCTGTGCCTGAGTACGTGCGTCTGTCCGTCTCGGAATATTTAGTGTTGCTCCATAAATACTTTAGTTAGGGGTCATGAAATTATACATGAATTTTACATGAACGTTGGTCAGCATTATGTTATTGTGCATCTGGGATTTCGCTTGTCGATACCGATAGTCATGCCAGATAAATTGCCCTTGACTTGGTCAAATCGGAAATCGGAAATAGTCAACTTGTGTCGTTAGTGGCATCAACAATATTTGAACATAAAACGTGTAAGCTTATCTTACATTTTATCTTAAGTTTATCTTATCTTATCGTACTTTACAGATGACGTTACGGTAGCTCGCTACTTTCCGACCGAAATTTGACAACATCTCAGAGCTTGATGATTTTTGGTATGCAAACATGTTGATTTGTAAGCTTTACTTCCGCAACATTATTTTGTAAAGAAAAAACGTTACTACGACGTCAATCGCCCTCTATCGGCGGCGTAGGTATTGCGACTTTTATACCAATAAAACGGCTTGTTTGTATCAATTCTCATCCGATTTTCTCCGTTTAAATTTTATAATGTTCAGAAGATGTATGCCTTTACATTGATGTCTTTCTTTTAACTTTGCTAAATATACTGCGATTTTACGGCTAATTTCCCTATGTTTTAACGTACAAATCTGTTGAAAATATCACAGACACTTGGGGTTTGGAGCTCAAAACGCCTTTAAAATCCAAATAAAATGCATATTTGTCAATCCCAGCACATGTACTGATCATATATATAAAAAAAAACATAATATAAGCCGTTTTGAAAAAAAATCATATTTCAACATCTATAATAATACTATAGATGTTGAAATATGATTTTTTTTCAAAACGGCTTATATTAAGTTTTTTTATATATATGATCAGTACATGTGCTGGGATTGACAAATATGCATTTTATTTGGATTTTAAAGGCGTTTTGAGCTCCAAACTCCAAGTGTCTGTGGAAAATATCGCACGTTATCGCAATAACAAATGTAAAATAAAAAAGATCAGTACGGTGAATTTTTCTATAAATTTTTAAGCATGCAGTGAAATTATAAAGGAAAATATTTATGCAATAAAAATATAGGGTCAACGCGTAAGATATTTTGCTATAATAGTTTTAAAATAAAATAAAGGGTGAATAAAACGTAATGATTTTGGTGACGTCAATAGACGTTGGAGTTCAAAGAATATACAAGAGAACAATTTTATAACGTCGAACATTTAAAATCACACAGGGACTTGATGAAGTATATTTTTTAAATTGTTGATTATTTTCTCATTGAAATGCATATGTTAGATGAGCAAATTTACAATGTTTAATCCGACAAGGCTTTTTATCAATATGTTTCCAGTTTGCTGGATGCAGCCTCATACATATTTCAGTTTTATTTTTTTCAATTTGGTGATTGTAATAAAAGAGTAAAAACTGCTATATTATTATGTGAAATAACTAATTTCAGCGTTAAAAAGTAAGAATCGCATATAAGTGTATAACGGAAGTAAGAACATTTAGTCGCTTAGCTTATGTCCGTTAGAATATTTATTTCATGTTACTTTAGCTTTTAAACACTTTCATAAAATCACATACAGGCAGATGAGCCCCGGTGTCAAAACACATATTAAAAATGCAATCAAAATAGATATACATACAAATGTGCCGAAAAAAGTGATGAAATTCAGAAGTAATTAAGAATATCTAAAATCAAACTGTTCAAGATACAAAAACAGGTATTTTTGCTTACCATTTTTTAGTTTGTGCAATACATTAATCTTACAAGTAAAATGGTTTCCTGCGGTGACCATTTTAATGATATACAGATATTTCATTTAACTATTTTCAACATTATTTGGGGGGGGGGGGGAATATAGGAATATAGTTGACAGTTGAATAAACGATCAATATAGAAGAAGGTCTTTGGAAACTGGTGACCGTTGAAGACCGGAGAAGGTCGAACATAATACAATCATTTCTTTTTAAGAAAATGATTAAATAGGCCTACCATTTTAAGAATTATTCCGAGCAAAAAATAAATAAAGTAAACGCACAAGTTTACGCAGAAAATATCTCTTTTTATTATGGCAGATGCCCCTACGAATATTTTAATATTGTAAATTTTCAGTATAAACAATTAATTGTTTGTAAAATTTGAGATAGATAGTAAAGAAACATTGGTAATTTTCAAACACGTCATTCACGTTTTTCCACCTTAAACGGTAAAATATTTAAAGAAAATTAGAAATATCACGTAATAGTTTTTTGTTCTTAATAAGTTGTAATTCGGACTAATTCCCTACAGGTAAATCCGTAACGTACCGGCAAACGGTATTTAGCTAGGTTTTCGAAAGGTCAATTAACCAATCATGTACGGTTTACAGATCACATGCTCCTCCATGTACCGAAAACAGGTCACGTGCTCCTCCATGCCTCAAAAGTTAAACGCGTACCAATACCCTGCGGTCTCCATACCGCAGGGAATAACAAGAGCTTTCAGTGATCACATGTGTCGCCTCATGATGGCCAATTTCATGTTGGGACAAGTTTTGTGACAGACGGACAGAAAGACGGACAGTACACAACTAGACTTGGTACTGATCATTCCTGTAAAGTTTGGATAAAATTGCACCAGTAGTTTATGAGGAGTAGTCCGGACAAGCTTTGTGTATCTGGCAACATACAGAAAAAAAACACTTTTATCAAAGGGCCATAACTCGGCCAAAAATCATTCAACCGGAAAACCCGTGCAATATGCGCAAGGACTTGAGCTACAGATCAATCCTGTAAAGTTTCATTGAAATTGCCTCAGTGGTATCAGAGAAGTAGTCCGGACAAACTTTAAAAATAAAAATTATTAAAGGGCCATAACTCTGACAAAAATCATTGAACCGGAAAATGCTGACAATATGCACAACTAGACTTGGTACTGATCATTCCTGTAACGTTTATGAGGAGTAGTCCGGACAAGTTTTGTGAAGGACGGACAGACAGACGGATAGACAGACGACGGAGAAGTGACCCCTATATGTCGCCACTACTCCGTAGAGGCGACACAAAAATGTTATGATAATTGGTTTATAAATTTAAAAAAAATGAACACTTATGTGACAAACTTTAAAACTATTTTGACAGCAAAAATCATTCTAAATAAAAAAACTGCAGACTCGAATACGAAACACCATATACTCTACTCGGATTTAAGTGTACTTACTTACCAACTTTTTTTAATACAGTATAACATAGGGGGTCTCAAAATATCATTGTTTATCTAAGGATTTCCACTACATTTTACATCTGTAGAGCAACCACTCTAAGCAACAAAGGGCATTTTTCTGTAGAGGTTATACTGTATATTTCAATTAAATACAAAATATAATTATTAAATAACTTGTGCAACTAATGTTACCATTGAATGCGGATGATGTATAATGTTCGTGTTATTGTGTTCAATTTTTTGTATACAGTTTGCTTTTAGCAGAAAAACACACACACACACGCACGCACGCACGCGCGCGCACACACACACACGCACACACGCACACGCACACACACACTCACACACACACACAAAGGTGTTTATGTAAATAATAAAGTGATTATTTTCATAGGCTCTATAGCACCGTATTATGTGCAGGAAACAAATCACACAAATTTAAGATCCTACATAATCCTCTTCAATATAAGGCAATCTGAATTTCATATGCAAAATGCTCCAGTAAATCGACATGTCTTTCGTCTCGAATCGAGAAATGAACGCCCCAAACAGCGATACGCTGGTAAACGCATATTAAAATAAATAATATTATCTGTAATTATGTGAAATACGTGAGAAATTAAAACCAGAGCATGAGAGTGTGATTCCTACTTTAAATCTGAGTCTCAATTTAGTGCAAGAATACAATTTATTTGTACGGGAGAAAATATAATAACTGATTGCTGGGATAAATATGTGTAGAAAAGTTTAAAAGTAAGGTAGTACACCCCTAATGCACATCTCCACTTTGAAGAATATTCAAATAGGCTAGAATCACTGTAAAGTGTATTGAAACTGTGGGGCGTGGGTTCAAACCCCAGAAGGGGCAACTTTTTTTATCTTACTTTTTTCATTTTAACATTTTTTATTAATCTCTCACATCCCTAATGGAAGAAAAAAGTGTTTCATTTCAATTATATAATTATTGTAGGTACTTATTTACTAAATAATGCCAAATTTAATAGCAAATATTACCAGATATTTTCAAAGTTTACACGTTTAAAGTATTTTATATTTTGCAAGACCGACCAATATACATTTAAGAAAATTTAGGCAAACTTTGAAAACAGCCCCTCATTGTGGAAAATTTTAAGGATATTTCAAATAAGGCTTTTTACATAGGAAAATGGTCAAATAAGTGTTAAAAGTAGGTGGGGTAGGGTGACATTTTTATACATATTAAAAACATTTCGTTTAAAAAACAATCATTTTGCTTGTTTAATTTGTTACCTAAATGTCATTATTTGTTTCTTTACAATGAGTAATAGGAAAACATTTTTCATAATGATGATATTATAGATTATTAAGAGTTTCCTCATTTCTGAAAAAAAGCCCTTCTAATGGCAAAGTTTTAGTTCAGAAAAATGTCCATAACTCATAAACCACACGGTAAATTTTGTTTAAATTTTGCATACAGGTGACATTTAAGGCACATAACTGTCCTATGTTATAAATTTTACAGTTCCTTATAGTGCCCATTAGGGGTGTTCTACCTTAAATGTCTGCTAGATTTATATGATTAAGACGACCGACGTTAAAATCGTTGTTATTTCCAGTTGATCATACATTTTTGAAACGTAAATGTTGGCTTTATTTTTTTTTTACTTTTCGTATAACAAAAATACAATCATATCAATTCCAAAAATGACAATTTCAGAATTTTCCTACTAATTGATTTATATTTTATACTATTCGAAATTGTTATACATTGTATATGATAACATGGAAGTTAATGTAGTACCGAGATACACATAGCATGATGACACTGCGACTGTGCCAGCCTTTTCATTCTTTTTTTCTGACATTCTTTTCAAGATTTATGTTTGTATTAATTCCACTTAGACGGGCTTTTTAATTTTATCTTTCAATATTCTGAATTGTCTTCAAGTTCCTCGAGGTATTTATATCCATTGGTTTCAGTTTTTCTGAGATTGATACCAACTTAATAAGTAAGATTTGCAGACCGTCGTCTGTTGTGCATGTATATAATTTCAAATTGTTCATCGAAATGCAGGCAGCTGACAGGATTTTTACTTTTTAAAGAACATTTTTCATTCCTGGAATTATACCATTTATCGAAAAAGTCATGAAATTTTTCTTGAGAAAAACATTTGACTTCATCAAAATCATTACGTTTTACCCATTCTTTATTTTATATTCAAAAAGTAATAGCATAAATAGATAAAAGTATCTTACGCGTTGATCCTTTAATTTTATTGAATTCACGACTTCTTAACATGCTAAAAGACTCACTGTGTTGAAAGTATAACTTACATATCTAAATCTTAAATGTTTGAATCTTGTTTTTCCAGTTGTAATTTTATTTTTCCGGAAATGAAATTTAAAGCAGTGCCCAATCTGTTTTCCCGAAAAAACAAAACAAATCACGCCTCAATTGGTAAATTAGAAAACCAAAAATAAAAGTCACAATCGGGTTAAAAATTAAATATGCGCATACATTTCAATAAGAACATACATATATATTTCAAAGTAGGCCTATCATAATTATTAATTACTGAATACAATAGTAAGCTTGTAAATGTCAGTTCTTTGAAGCTCAACGTCTATTGACGTCAACAAATATATAACGTTTTATTCACCCTTAATTTTATTTTAAAGCTGTCATAGTAAAATATCTTACGCGTTGACCTTATATTTTTATCGCATAAATATTTTCCTTCACTATTTCACTACATGCTTGAAAAATTATAGCAAAATTCACCGTGCTGAGTTTTTTTATTTCACAATCTTAATTGCGATGATGTACGATATTCGCATCAGATATGGACGTCAAAACGTAGGGGAAAATAACGTAGAATCGCAGACTATTAAGCAAATGTTAAAAAAATACATCATTACAAAGACATACATTTAAATTAAAACGAAGGAAATCGGATGAAAATTGATAAGAACATACCGGTTTACTGATAAAAAGACTCAATCTAAAAACTTTTTAATCACGAAAAAACGATTTTTGAACATTTTCATCATTTTCTTCAAATGCAAACCAGATGTATAATTTTACAGTGGTGCGCACGAGAAAGGATAGTATGAATGGCGTTATGTTCACTTAACATTAATTACTTGCTTCTTAAACGTTATGTTATACCTCATATTTGAAAATGTTGAAATGACGATTGAACGCCTTGAAGCTGTTTCAAACAAACTGTTTGACAGACTTAAACATGCATTCTACGTTTGGTTTTTGCATGGTTGCAGCATATGTGCCATTAAAGCTCTAGCAAGATGTGATTTTTTCCTGATGAATCACAAAGTATGGATGATACAATGATAACAGATAGTGGTGACCTAATGGCCAAAGGTGTTTGCCTCTCAATCCCACGATTATGGGTTTGAGCCCAATTAACTGTGGTCACGACTATGTTTCCACATTTGATACCAGTACTGGTTAGTTCCAGGAGGCGGACTCTAAAGTGATTAATAGAAGATAAAAAAAACGTGTTTCATAATCGAAATAAATAAATATGTATAGCTTGTAGATTTATGAAGGGGCCCTGGAATCATTTTTTTTTGTTCAAGCAGCTACAGCATATTTTAGTGCAAGGGGAATACCGGCACATATTCTTGTTTACAGGGATATTGCAGTACGATACTCATAAAATTATGTTTTGCGCTTATTTGGTGAAATATTTGTTTATTATATACAATGTACTTTTAAAAAATTCGGTGAAATATTTGTTTATTATACACTTTTAAAAAATTAGATGAAATATTTGTTTATTATACACTTTTAAAAAATTCGGTGAAATATATGTTTATTATACACTTTTAAAAAAAATCGGTGAAATACTTGTTTATTATACACTTTTAAAAAAAATCGGTGAAATATATGTTTATTATACACTTTTAAAAAAATTCGGTGAAATATTTGTTTATTATACACTTTTAAAAAAATTCGGTGAAATATTTGTTTATTATACACTTTTAAAAAAATTCGGTGAAATATTTGTTTATTATACACTTTTAAAAAATTCGGTGAAATATTTGTTTATTATACACTTTTAAAAAAATTCGGTGAAATATTTGTTTATTATACACTTGTGATGATGATAATGATGATGATAATGATGTTGCTGATGATAATGGATGATGGTGATGAAGATGGCAGTTATGGTATTTACAATTCCGTCATTAGGTTTTTGAATGATAAACGGTATTATGCAAAACAAACTTTTTTAAGTAAAAAACAATCCATATACGTTGGAATTTACATTTTTATGCACAATTTTGATAAGTGAAAAAAAACTCAATCCAACCGAATATGGCACATTTTATGTTCCATTTTCGGCTGAAGAGTGAGCCATATTCGACCGAATATATCACACATGTGACAAATAGGAACCGAATATATCACACATGTGACAAATAGGAACCGAATATATCACACATGTGACAAATAGGAACCGAATATATCACAGGTGTGACAAATAGGAACCGAATATATCACACATGTGACAAATAGGAACCGAATATATCACAGGTGTGACAAATAGGAACCGAATATATCACACATGTGACAAATAGGAACCGAATATATCACACATGTGACAAATAGGAACCGAATATATCACACATGTGACAAATAGGAACCGAATATATCACAGGTGTGCCACATTTGGTCCGTGCCATATACGGTCCGACATAGCGCCTTGCTAGGACATGTCATTATACATCCTGCTCTGCTAATGAACTTACGCTCACTATTTTCGTCACCCATGGTAATTATATGTATACATATTCTTGCACATTTAACTTAAAGGTATTTGATATCTTTTAAAAATCTTATAAAATGTTTATTACTATACCGTGTTTAAGTATAAATCACGATTCAAACGTCTGAATGTATAAATCATCAATTATTTCATCAAATTTGATTTTCATTGTTGATAAAACTCTGTACATGAGTAAGTTCAAATTAAAAAAACAACATATTTTTCTTATTGTCAATACCTACCCTTAATGAATCACTTTTTGAAGTCTCACAAGATCTTTCCTTATTTGTTACTTTTTCAGCCTCTTGTTCTTCATCAGCTTCTCTTTTTATTTCACTTTCACTCACATGTATCTCATCGGTTTTTAGTTCTGCTTTTCCTGAAGAAGCATTTGTTTTATCGTTCTGCTTATCCATAGCAAATTTTTACAAATGCTTGTCTACACCGGAGACACTATATTATTATTATACGTCTGTCTATACTATACCACTAAACACATTAATACGACCAGAATGTTAAATTTTCAAATATTTTTGTCTAATGTCACTCCTAATATGTTCCTTGTAACAACATTGATATTTTAGAGAACTAAATAAACACATTTGCTCATATCCTGTCTTGTCAGTCGTTATTCACTGTTTTACATTTTTAATGATTTATTTCCAATTGGAGTTAAATATGATATTTAATGTTGACAGATAAATTTTTAACCTATTCAGTGCAAACGATCACAACTTTCCGGTGTATTTACCCGCTATTGTTTCATATTGTTTTAAAAATGCACGGTTTATAATCATACCTGATCAAATTATTAACTAAACTTCCTTAATTTCTATGCGGGTTTTAATTTACAAAAATAATTGGCCAGGTTGAGTGTAGGACAAAAGCCCCCCCCCCGGACGATACAGGTAGGACAAAACAAAAGCCCCCCCCATCTTTTTTCACACGCACAGGTGCTCAAATTCATCAAATTTCACACAAACTTTTAAATAAAAATGAAAATAATTTGTTTTAATGTTTATTTATAATGTATATTTTGAAATGATAACAAAGTATATGATAACAGATGAAATAATGCATGCATGAGATACTGAATTCATAGCTTTTCATATACACAACAAGGGTCAGAAGAGTATTAATGTTTAATCACTTTTATAAAGGGGTCAAATTAATATCCTTAGCACTATGTCACCTACATGTGATGTTCATACATATCTTTTAAACACATAAAAAACACAACTTTAATACACTATATGTAAATTTGATTGACCATGGGAGGGGGGGGGGGCTTTTGTCCTACCTTTACTTTTTATGGGGGGGGGGCTTTTGTTCTGTGTTTAAATTTCATGGGGGGGGGGCTTTTGTCCACGTTGTCACTTTTAGACGGGGGGGGGGGCTTTCGTCCAGGGGGCTTTTGTCCGTATCCTGGCCATGTTCGATATCAGCCGGAAAATGCCTTACACATAATTAGTCTTTAAAGGTAAATAGGGACATTATGATGTCAGCAATTAGCAACATGATATTTTGAAAGCGAAATATAATCACACCATTTTAACGCCACAATCTTCTATTAAGTGTTTACTATGTTTTATTAGTAGAACCTGTTTACTATCTTAAGCACATAACGGCCTTTAAATGAAGAGATTTATTTAACACTTGTAACAACATTGTAATTTGCCATTGCAGACAAAGAAATAACAAACATAATTGAATATGTTAACTACCTGCAATACCAACCGTTTAAATCAAAGCGCTGAAAGCACTGATGTATTCGCTGCGCATTTATGCATATGTGTCTTACTAAAAACGTTGAAATTGTAAAGCATAAAGGTATATGGGCCACTGAATTACAGATTATTAATCTGATAGAGACATTAACACGGGGGAAGAAGTGTTACACGAAGGATGGAGTTCTTATGATAACTTGTTTGGAGTTCTTAAGATTACTGTCACGGAGTTCCTGAAAAACGTTACGGATTTCTGTGGAAAACTTTTCTATATACTTGGAGAACTCGCGTAAAAATGCTTATTTTTAACTTTAAATGGGGAGTTTGAGGTGCTAAATTTAACTTTGATAATTAATCTTGCCCTACATATTGTATTTTGTTTCAGAAAAAATCCATATTTTGTCGCCTTTTTTTTTTAAAAAAAAACCTGGTAGTTTTGAGAAAAATTACCAAATTACTTGCTAATTCGTACATATTGAACTTTTCATTTGTGATCTTCTTCGTTGCTATACTTAATTACCTAATTATTATGGAGAGTTGCAAACATAAAGCCCGGGCTAATAAATGTATACCCGATTTTTCAAATGTTACGGAGTTCTTGCGATAACTCAAAATATGTCCTGGAGTTCTTATGATAACCTTTGTTACTGCCAGTGTGTTTTTGTGCTTAATCACGGCACGTTTAAGCGTATTTTATTAGTCAATAAGTGTGTAAATCATTATGAAGCATAGTACGCTTATCATTTGCACAAACATTTGGTTATATAACGTTGGTTTTGATCGTGTTTTTCAGTTCAAGAGATATTTTTCTTACCTCCGTTTCTTGTGTTTTTTGTGTTTGTTTTGGTCTTTGTGTGTGTGTGTGTGTTTTTATTATATTTTATTGGAATGCCTGTAAACATACTTGATGTAGTGCCTTGACTTACAGGTTAAACATACGCTTTGAATTTAATACTCAAGCATGATTTCGTCATATATACATTATTCCTGTCAGTTTTAGAGAACATTAAGTAACTATGCCATCAGTATGCATGTAAATGGTTTTCAGCAAAATAGGAGGTAGTATGCACTACCTTTATCTAAATTTAATGAGGTGGGTGTCGTCTTTATGTTTCAACGGGTATTTCAATTTCTATAGGTATCAGTTTTTGTCATAGAAACGTATAAAGTTCTATGACAATGATATGACGATAGAAAGTAAGTCTTCAATAAGATATGTGAGTCACCGTAAGGTTCATGCCGTTTATCGACCTTGTTCCTTTCTCTATTAAATCCAAATTTAATCTCTATTAGATCACGTGACGTACAGCAATCTCCATATTTCGGAAAATTACTGCATCAAAGTTGGAGTTCTAGTTATGGAATTTGTACAACAACTTTTGCTGTAATTGATTAGAAAAATATTGTCGAACTTTTTTCGCTCGAACCCGTAGGGCACGTGCAAATCTGTCGAAGAGATCGGTAGTAATCGGTTGCTTTTTTATGCATAAAAAGATCATACATTTCGGGTGCATGGGTGTGAAGGGTATCCCGGTTATATACGATACTTGGTATATAATGATACAATTTATTTAGCCGCTTCTTGGGGGAAGCCCAACTACTTATTGTCTGCTTTAGAAAGGCGGTTGTTTAAAATAATAACTGAGAAAAAAGTGTTAGTTTTAAACAATTTTTCCTTGGCGGTTTAAGCCATGTTACTGCTGAATACAGGTGACCGCTGATTCAGGTTTTTCTGAAGATTTTTGTTTGTTTGTTTGTTTCATTTTACGCCTTTTCCCAACAGTATTTCAGTCATATGGGCGGGTAGTTTCCTAACCATCGTTCCTGGAGAGTTACACCAGTACTAGACTACCTTCCTCCGTGCAAAACTACCAAAGCATCTCCCGGGGATCGAACCCACGCCAGAGAGGTAACTGGATTAGAAGTCATCGACTCAAACCCCTCGACCATGGAGGCGGTCGTTCCTGAAGATAGCTTAGCACCTGTTTATCACACCAAAGCAGTTTCATGTCTTCTCCAGATATATTGAATGATCGTGTTTTAATTTTGCCACATGGCCTCAATGTTGCATTTGCGGAAACTTATGACATAAAACCTTTGTTGACGAACAGTATACACAGAAACATTCAGTACATTCGTTGGGTTTTATAATGTCAATATGATTTCGCACTAATTTAATTAGGAACTAAAACACGATCAAAACCAACGTTATATAACCAAATTTTTGTGCAAATGATAATTAAGCTTCATAATGATTTACACACTTATTGACTAATAAAATACGCTTAAACGTGCCGTAATTAAGCACAAGAAACACACTGGCAGTAACAAAAGTTATCATAAGAACTCCAGGACATATTTTGAGTTATCACAAGAACTCCGTAACATTTGAAAAATCGGGTATACATTTATCAGCCCGGGCTTTTTGTTTGCAACTCTCCACTTTAATTAGGTGATTATGTATAGCAACGAAGAAGATCACAAATGAAAAGGTCAATATGTACGAATTAGCAAGTAATTTGGAAATTTTTCTCAAAACTACCAGGTTTTTTTTAAAAAAGGCGACGAAATATGGACTAAAAGATTTTTCTGAAGCATAATACAATATGTAGGGCAAGATTAATTATCAAAGTTTAATTTAGCACCTCAAACTCCCCATTTAAAGTTAAAAATAACCATTTTTTAAGCGAGTTTTCCAAGTATATAGAAAAGTTTTCCACAGAAATCCGTAACGTTTTCCAGGAACTCCGTGACAGTTATCATAAGAACTCCAAACAAGTTATCATAAGAACTCCATCCTTCGTGTAACACTTCCTCCCCCGTGATTAACACCGGTTGTTGAATATTATATTGAAAGTGGGAAGGAACTAAGAATAAACTAAATGAGAACAACTTTATTACATTATCTAAGTGGTACAATAAAATATACATCCAAAATATGAATGCATTCAGTACATTCATGACTAGATCCTTAACATGATGCATGAAATAGTTATGTTATAATGAATATATATATACAGTAACAATACCTAGAATATTATATTGCTACATAAGCTTCAAATGTAATGAAAGACAGATTACCTAGCTGAAGCATTTCAGTTTTCCACATGATGAAAAGTGAAACTTGGAACATGTTAATTTCATGAAATTTGAGAAGAAAATATAGGTATTTTTGTAAAAAACTTTAATTTTTAAAATTTCTGAGATTAAAAAATAACAAAAAACAATTACTTTTAATATTTTGCGTATTATACTTTTAAATAGCCTGTAACAGTCAAAAATAAATTTTAAAATTCTGTTATTTACTTTTTTGCAAAGAAACATTACAAATGGAATGGTAGCATGAGGAAATGGCTTTAATAATGCAAAACAAACAAAATGGGACAATAAGAGAAAAAGATGGTTGTAAGATTTAATTTTTTTTTTACCTACTGTGACCTTATCATGCAATAGACCAAATTAATTCAAAGCGTTCTTGCACACAGGAAATGAGAATTTTTGACGTTTTCAAACTTGACCAGAAGTTTAATATGACATTATTGAAATATGGATGACGGACAGACAGGGAATCTTTGACTGTCTGTAATACATGTAGCTGAGCTATTGCTAATGTCAGCTAAAAATAATGAAAATACTGATGTCTAGGATGATTCCATAATATCCATATTTAAGAAAACACAGCTTTAAAACCAATCGCAATATTGATAACAAGAGGGCCATGATGGCCCTATATCGCTCACCTTAAGGAATAGATTTTAACTGGATTTTTCTTATTTAAAACAAGCAACATGTTTATAAAATACTTTAATGTTATTTAGTTAGTGTCAAATGTAAAGTATTTTTGGCCAACAACAACAGGAATGCAATCAAGTGTATAGAAATACCTCTTTTTTTCTTTTCTTTAAAGTATAGGTTGCTAAAAAATACACTCCCTGTAGTGTGTTTACAAAAATGACATCATAATTAACAAGGCGAAGTACAAATTTGGATAATACTTCAATAACAAGAGCGATCAGTAATCACATGTGTCGCCTCATGATGGCCAATTTCATGTTGGGACAAGTTTTTTGACAGACAGACAGACAGACGGACAGTGCACA